AAGACATAAAATAAATTCATAAACCACAGTAGTGCAAGGAGGAATGAATTCATTCCATAAGAGAGAAATGAAGTGCCCTGAAGATTCTGAGGAAGAAAACACACACACACACACACACACACACAGAGAGAGAGAGAGAGAGAGAGAAGGGCCTCTCAGCTCTCAGGAAAACCTGCACAAAGCAAGTGGCATGTCAGTTTCTCCTACAGAGGAGAGGACTTTTACTGTGAAGCAGAGGTGGTGGTGCAGAGAGGACCCAGAGAGAGGAAATAGCCTGGATACAGGCAGGGGGTAAATGAGTGTGAGATGTCAGTGGTAGAGACCAGTCTTGTTTGACCTTGACATTGAGCAGTGGTTCCCAAAGTGTGCTCTGGGAATCCTTATGGTACTGGAGACCTTGTCAGGGATTCTACATAAGGTCAAAACTTTTTTTTTTTTTTTTTTTGACAGGCAGAGTGGACAGTGAGAGAGAGAGAGAGAGAGAGAGAAAGGTCTTCCTTTGCCATTGGGTCACCCTCCAATGGCCGCCGCAGCTGGTGCACTGCGCTGATCCGAAGGCAGGAGCCAGGTGCTTCTCTTGGTCTCCCATGGGGTGCAGGGCCCAAGCACTTGGGCCATCCTCCACTGCCTTCCCTGGCCACAGCAGAGAGCTGGCCTGGAAGAGGGGCAACCGGGACAGAATCCGGCGCCCCGACCGGGACTAGAACCCGGTGTGCTGGCGCCGCAAGGCAGAGGATTAGCCTAGTGAGCCGCGGAGCCGGCATAAGGTCAAAACTCATTTCATAAAAATTAGATGATGCTTGCCCTTTTTTTAAAAAGAAAGGTTTTTCAAATTTATTCGAAAGTCAAAATTATAGAGAGAGAGGGAAAGACAGAGGAGGGGGGAGGGGAGAGGGGGTGAAAGTGAGAGAGAGAGAGAGAGAGAGAGAGATCTTCTGTCTGCTGGTTCACTCCCCAAATGACCACAACAGCCAGGACCGGGCTAGGCCAAAGCCAGGAGCCAGGAGCCAGGAGCTTTATCTGGGTCTCCCATGTAGATGCAGGGGCCCAAGCACTTGGGCCATCTTCCACTGCTTTCCCAGGCACATTAGCAGGGAACTAGATTGGTAGTGGAGCAGCTGGGGTTTGAACCAGTGCCCATATGGGATGCTGGTGCTGCAGGCTGCAGCTTAACCTGCAATGCCACACTCAACCATTTTTATACTCATCCTCTTAGAAGTATACAGTGGGTTTTTCCAAGGCTATTTTATTTGTGATTGTCATTGTTTTGATGACAAATGGAATGATGAAATGAGTTTTAATTAATATTTATTATTTTTTGAGAAGCAGAGAGAGAAGGGGAGAAACAAAGATTGCATTCCCATCTGCTGGGTCATCCCCTAAGTGCCTGCAAGAACTGGGGATTGGCCAGGGCTAAAGTCAGAAGCTGGGAATGCAATCCAGGTCACTCAGTGGGTGACAGGAGCCCAATTTTTTTGGCTGGAACCATTACTGGAACCATTGCCACTGCCTCCCAGAGTGTGCATTAGCAGGAAGCTGGAGCCAAGAGCTGAAACTGGGAATTGAACCCAGGCACTTGGATGTGGGATGTGGGAGTCTTAAGCACTAGGTTAATAAATTCCTGCTCCCACACTCATTTCTAAGCATGTGTTGGGATTTTCAGACCAAAAAGTTTGAGAACCACTGGTGCAGAGCACATGGAGTAAGAGATAGGCATACCACTCTGGAGACGCTTTTGGCTTCGGGCCAAGGAGTATGTGATCGTCTGATGGTTAGAGGTACTTACTGGAAGCTTTTAGTGGGAGAATGATAATATGGAAATTGACTAGAATGTGGGTTGGAGAAAGCAGGGTGGAAGCTGGTAAGGGGATTGCCCAGTTGCCGAGGTAAAGGGTGCATGCGCAGTGAGAATGTGGGAGAAGATCGGCAGGCAGAGTGCTGTGGGGGTGGGTATCACCCATCACACCAACAAACTTGGCAAATCCAAGAGAATGGGTTAAGAATACAGACCTTTGACGTTTAAGCCTTGATGCCTAAGTTTATGTGTCAACTTGACTAGGCCACAAAGCCAGCCCCAAATATGCTTAAATTTAACTACACTCATGAGGGGTTGGCATTGTGGAGTAGCCAGTTTTTTTATGCAGCCACCTGAATTGCCAACAACTCATACTGGAGCACGAGTTCGAGTCCCAGCTGCTCCATTTCTGATTCAGCTCCCTCCCTGTTAATGCGAGGAAAGCAGCAGAAGGTGGCCCAGGTACTTGGGCCCCTGCACCCATGTGGGAGACTCAATCAAGTTCGAGGCTCCTAGCTTCAGCATGGCCTACCCACAGTGCTTGCAGCCATGTGGGGGAATGAACCAGTGGATAGATTTTTTCTCTCTGTGTCTTTTCCTCTCTGTGTTACTTTGTCTTTCAAATAAATAAAATAAATATTTTTTTAACAGAAGAAGCATTAATGACTTTATTTCCAGGAGTAAGACAGCACTGATGAACTGATAGTCCATGGCAAGCTCTAGCATAAGAGACATGGGATACCAGATAGTTCTAGAAATACCTGTAAGAAGCAAGGATCTGGGTGCATACATGTAGCACTTGTGACATTTCTTTCAAACTAATGAGTATACATAAATGAGATTGGTAGCTTCCAATGATGCTGGACAAATTGAGAAAGAAAAGGACAGGCTCAGGCTCCAACCATCGCCAAGAGAATTGTGGTGGAGAGAAGGAAGTGAGGAGGAGGAAATGGTTCAAGGCCAAAATGGTCATATTCAGAAGACACCTCATGTTATGACTGTTGTTTGCTATGGGTGTTTTATTTAACAGTACTGTATAGGTAACATTCTGATAAATTTGGACTTAAAATATCTAGCTTTTGTGGATGTTTCAAAGTGTTTTATGTATCTAAAACAAGTGTAATAGGATATAGTTTGAGAACAGGTATTAAAAATAGATGGGCTATTCTATGATTGCATTTATACTAGGTACTTAGGACAGTCAAATTGGTGGAGCAGGTAGAATGCTGGTTACCAGGGGCAAGAGCAGGGGAAGGTGCCAGTGCCGGGGAGGGAGAGTTAATTGTTTTGCAGGTGCAGAGTTTCAGTTTGGAGTGATAAAAATGTGCAGAGATGGCTGCTGATGTTGTACAACATTGTGAATATACTCTGTCACTGAACTATGTACTTAACATGGTTAAGCAGGAGATTTTATGTCTTGTGCATTTTATCAGGATAAGAAAACCTTTTTTAATTTGTGGGAAAAAGAAAAAAATAAAGGATGAGTGGGCAAGCAAGGCAAAGAAACGTTTGACTGTGGAAGTGGGGAAAGGGCTTCAGTGGGATCATTCCAGGGGGAGGTTCCTCATTGGAGCTCTCTGGCCAAAACCAATATTGACAGGGGTTTCCCTTCACTTCCACAGAGATCCAGGGAACTGAACCACATCAACCTAATGGCCTCCAGCTCATTATTTTAACACCTGGAGGAACACAAGTATTTTATTTAAAAAAAAAGATTTATTTATTTGAAAGTCAGAGTTACACAGAGTGGAGAGGCAGAGCAAGAGGCAGAGAGAGAGAGAGTCTTCCATCCGATGGTTCACTCTCCAATTGGCCACAATAGCCAGAGCTGTGCTGATCCGAAGCCAGGAGCCAGGAGCCAGGAGCCAGGAGCTTCCTCTGGGTCTCCACACAGGTGCAGGGGCCCAAGGAGTTGGCACATCTTCTACTGCTTTCCCAGGCCATACCAGAGAGCTGGATCAGAAGTGGAGCAGCCAGGTCTCGAACCGGCGCCCATATGGGATGTCAATACTTCAGGCCAGGGCATTAACCCGCTGTGCCACAGCACCAGCCCCAGAATAAGTATTTTCATTGCCAAGACCCAACCTTCCTTTTGTCATTTGCTATTAACATCCCCCTTAACTTGAATTCAGAATATCCGGACTAATTAAATGTCTGAAGACTAGGATTTGCCTCTGAAGACATGTTATTAGCAGCTAGCCCACACTAGGATATTACAACATAGAAAGGGTCAAAGACTCAGGGACTTTGGTGCCGACGGTAGGGCCTGGTGAAGAAGGCCAGGGAGAAGTGTAGTAGGGCTGGGCAGGATGAGCCAAAGAAGGGCCTGGAAGCCCTGAAAAGAGCTGGCCTCTGGCCGAGGGGCAGCACTGGGCTCTGCTGAATGTTTGGGGGTGGCCTCTCCTGATCACAGAACTCTCAGCAACAGAGACCCCTGAGGGAAGAGCTGCCTATGCTGTAGCCCTCAGAAGGGCCTGGGATGTGAATGTATCCAAGAGGCTCCATGGAACCCAGGCTGTGGCAGTGCAGTCCTGAGCATCAGGAGGCCTTGGTGAACTTGAGATGTGCTTTGAAGAGGAAGCATTCGTGACTGGCATGGTCCGAGTAGTGTGTGGGAGATGTCACCCCAGCCAGGGGCAGAGGGTCCCCATCCAGCCACACCTACCACAAAACATCGGCTGGGCCACCCCTTGCAGTTCTTAGTCATCTTCATCTGAAAAGTGAGATTGCTGGGAGTGTGAACTTCCTGATTTTTCTGATTCTCATTCTAAGATTTTGTGATTCTGATTTCCCACGCTGCCTTTTATCTAAGTGAATGGCTTTAAGGTAAATTACCTATGAATATTTGCAATTTGGGTTTCCATGTCTATACTGCATTCAGCAACATACGTGTGTGTGTGTGTGTGTGTGTGTGTGTAAACATATATAGCCTTGCCTACTTTGATGTGCTCAGAATACTCACATTAGCTTATTGTTAGGTAAATCACTTAACTCAAAGGCTGCTTTATAATAGGGTGCTGAGTATCTATGTAATTAACTGAATATTAGTCTGAAAGTGAAACCAGAATTTTGTGTAGGTAGGCTTTCACACCATTACAAGGTTGAAAAGTCTAAGTTGGGGATTGTTTGTATTTCTCTCTTCATGGATTTTTTTTTTTTTTGCCTCTGAAGACCACACTGTTGAGGACTACTGATGGAGGTAAGTTTATTTTCCTTGGGACAAGTGAGAACATTATCATATAGTAGGCATCTATGTGAATGATCAGGTAACTAAATTTAACATGTTGCACCCCAGACTTGATTACATTTTGAGGAAATATTATCCCACTGGCACAGGATCTAGAGATATACAGAACAGCTCAGGATGGGAATGAAAGTGTCTTTGTTTAAGTGTCCTTGATCCCAATACTCAAATGGTTAAGGTCAAATAAGAAAGTCCAGGGCAAACTCCCCGCTTGCTGTCAGATCTCTGTGCGGAAGGTCAGGGTGCTTCCTTCCATCTTCTTCTGGTAATCCTTGTCAAACTCTTCATTTTGGGCCACAGTGAAATAGTTCTTCCAGTCTCCAGGCATCCCTGAAACAAAGTAGAGTCTCAGTGATGGCTCCATGAGCACAGAGAGAAGTGAGCATGCACCCTTAGGATGCACACCAGAAGGGGGCGAAAGAAGCAGCTCGCCTCTCAGAAGCTGTCTCGTGGTGCTGCTTGCAAGAAGAAGCAACAGACATGAAACAGTTCTGGAAATTCCAAGCAGACCATGAGACCCTTGAGCCCCGTGGGGCATCTTAGAATAGACACCACATCTACCTTTCCTCATAAAAGGGGAGATGGAGTGGTCCATGATGCTGGCGGGCAGAGTAGTGTAGTTGGCCATCGGGTTTTGCTTCATTACATCAAAGGAGGTGTGATAGATGATTTTATTCAGAACTTCCTCTGTTACATCTTTCTCCAGGAACTTCAATATCTTCTCAATTTCCCTCTTTGGGTCCTGTGTGCAGAGAGTCACATAAAAATGATTTTGCATCATCCTTTAGCTAGGATGTTCTACTTGTACAGTGTTTAGAGAGTGGTGAGCTACGGAGTCAAAGATATTCAACAAATACTTGATTTCTTGTGCCTGGCATTGTACTGGGTCGGAGGCTGCAGCAGCCCAAAGCTGAGGGTTATCCACAAGGACCTTGCTCTACAGTAGAAGAATCAAATGAAAATCATCCAACTAACAGTAATGACTGGCTGGGAACACACAGGCTTCCCACATACAGAGAGGGCACCATGAGATTTGCTGGGAAGACCACAGCAGACTCTGTGAAGGAGGGACAATGTTGATGGTGATGTGCAGTATAACATTTGGGCTAAAAGAGATGTCAAAAGGGGTCCATGAATTTAACAGATGACCAGTAAGAAGATAAATAAAAGGCACCTCGAGTTGATCCAGAAATGTGAATCTTTTTTCCTTGGGTCTTTCTGATCAAGGAGATGCAGGAAGAGAAGGAGGCATAGCATTTCGTTAGTTTTCATGGACTTCCAGCTGAGGCAGGGGAGGTGGTTTTGTAATTCTCAGACACTAATCCATGCAGTCAAGAAAGTGACTTTCTGATGCTACTCATCCATAATGACTTGAGCTGCAGAAATCAGTTCACTATCCCAATATGTGAGACTATCCTACCAAAGTTCTTGTGGATCAAACCTTGGTCTGTGATGGGAGTCTGGGACTTGGAAGAGGGTGGAGGAAGCTAAACTTTTTGACACAGCTATGTGCACTACACAGATATGATCACATAAATCTCTACAACAGTCTCATGGGATAGACGTGATACCAATTTGTTGGTAGAGAAACACGGCTCATAGATGTCAAGACCCAACAGGTTGATTTCCCCATAAAGCAAACGCTATTTACAGAGAAAAAGAATCTTCTTGAAATCTTGAACAGAAACAAAGAAAATTTAGAAGCTCAAAAGAGCAGTCAGAGCTTCTGAGGATAAAATTGAGTTAGAAAGGACATCCTAGAGAGAGCGAGAGGAAGGTTGCGTGCCAGGGACTTATCATATCTGAAGATATGGGAGGATCTCATGGAGACCACACTGCCTCACCTCCTTCATGTCCTCGTAGAAGAGGTAGAGAATGGGGTGCTGGTCTTTTGCGTCCCACCATCCCTTCACGTGATCATACCAGGAGCCCCACAGCACTGAGGGGAAGGAAAGAGATGAGACATCAGTGTCAACCTGAAATGTGTAAAATGACCATGCATGTCTCATGAAAGAGGACGTTTAATGCCTATGAGCAAAGGACAAAAACCTGGGCAGAATTCTTATGTGCAGAAGACCAGGTGCTTCGATTCTTATTTTTTAATCTTTATAATTTAGTATTTGAAAAATAAGCCTTTTGCTGAAAAAATGTATATGAGGAATCTTTAAAAAGTTCATAGAAAATGCATAATATGAAAAATAGGCTTGGATTTCCAGATGTTTTTGGTACCAAAATAAACTTATCTCTGAATCCTATTTTCCCATAAACCTTTGAAGTTCTCTCCTAATTGTCAGATATTATTTGGGCACATTTGCTCCCTATAAGGGTAAATGGGAGGAAGACAGCTGTGTTGAATATCTTTTGCTGGTCCTACCCTCCATACTCCATCCTTATCGCCCTGCTCAGTGCCCTGTGAGTTGAACCCTACAGACTGTGTCAGTGAGCTCCTTGATCTCAGGCTTGTACCTGCACTTGGCCAGCAAGAGGCATTGGAACGCTTAGGCATTGGAAGGCTTTTGGATGGTTGTATTGATTCCCCTGATACCCTCCCTGTTGCCTTACTGTGCTCGCCTTCTCCCCCCATCCAAGGCCTCAGCTCCTGTCAAGGGTCTTCTTCTGCTTCCCCAGAATACTCTACTAGCCCTGCTGGGGTCCTTAAACTCTTCCCATAGCTTTGTCAGTAGTTTTCTGTTAAAGTCTCCCTGGATGACCGAGTCTGAGTGCTCCGTCTTGTCCTTGCAGGACCTGGGTAGATGCAACCATCCATTGGAAGTTTTCCTTTCTGATGTTAGCAGATGAATGGATAAGGAAATAGGAGCCTGTGGTTTTCTTTCACTTACCGTTTCCAGCTTTGAATGTCTCAACGTATTCCTCCCATGTGCCAGGGTCAGGCACCATTTTATTCATTCTTGAGAAATGGTAGTAGGACACCAGACAGTCCTTGGCATTTCTAGCCACATAGATGATCTGAAATTGTCCAATGAGGAGAATAAAAGGTAGAGAGAAACAAGGCAGAAACATATCTTTATTCAGTATGAAGAACCAGATTCTTAAAACGTCTCTTGATAGAACCTTGGACTGTCCCATTTGAATAATTAAATATGCATGTGTTTTCTGTGATCAAGGTGACATCGCTCCCAGTTTGCCCAGATTGACAGTTCTTATATTAGCTGTGATCTTAGCATAAACAATAAAAGCACCTCTCAAAAGGGTCCTGATTTGTGTATGAACACCAGTCACCCAGTCTGATATTTTTGGGGGTTAAGACATTTACTCACGGTGTCTCAGTCTGTTCAGGCTGCTATAATGAAATAGCACAGGCTTCATAGCTTGTAAACAACAGAAATATGTTTCTCACGTTCTAGAGGCTGAGAGTGCAAGATTAAATTGCCAGGAGATGCAGCATCTGGCGAGGGTTTCCTCATAGATGATCATGCCTTATAAGGATACTAATCTAATTCCCAAACGCTCCACACTTGTGACCCAATCACTTCCCACAGTCCCCACTTCCTATACCATCAGCTTGGGGCTTAGGGTTTCAACAGGTGCATTTTTATAAAAGATTTATTTATTTATTTGAAAGTCAGAGTTACACAGAGAGAGGAGAGGCAGAGAGAGAGAGAGAGAGAGAGAGAGGTCTTCTGTCTGCTGGTTCACTCCCCAATTGGCCACAACGACTGGAGCTGTGCCAATCTGAAGCCAGGAGCCAGGAGCTTCTCCTGGGTCTCCCACATGGGTTCCGGGGCCCAAGGACTTGGGCCATCTTCTACTGCTTTCCCAGGCCATAGCAGAGAGCTGGGTCAGAAGAGGAGCAGCCAGGACTAGAACTGGCGCCCAAATGGGATGCTGGTGCTTCAGGACAGGGCGTTAACCTGCTGCGCCACAGTGCTGGCCTCTCTTAGCAAATTACTCCAACTCTTACATTCCCAGCTGCGTTTCCCCCATTACTGTCTTGGAGGAGCAGCGTCCTGGTGTGACTTTTTGTTTTTCTGCCCCCTTTCTTTCCATAGATTTTCTATCCAATATTCATGAGAGCACCAAGGAAGCCATCACATAGGATATAACTGTAAGGTCTTATTATTGTGCCAATGCATTTAGTGTAATATCTACTGCTTGTGTTGGTGATTGCTGTCTGGGATTGAGCAGCTGGAGAATGGGGGAAGTCCTGGGCTACGCAGGGAACATATTCAAATGAACTTGTGCTGTGAAGTCCAATGTCACAAGAAAATTTCAAGTTTTTGACCCATCTATATTAGTTTCCAATGGCTGCTGTAACAAAGTGCCACAAATGTTGTGGTTCTGGAGGGCAGATTTCACAGCTAGAGTCACAGTGTCAGCAGGGCTGGTCCCTTTTAGTGGCTTTAGGGGAGAATTCATTTTCCTGTTGTTTGTAGCCTATGGAGGTCACTTGTATTCTTTAGCTTTTGATTCCTTCCTAAGACGACTCCAACTTCCTGCTTCAGTTGCCAGATCTCCTGTTTCCTACTATGATACCTCTTCTTTCCTCTTCTAGGGATCTCTGTGATGATATTTAGGTCCTAGATAATCCAGGACAATCCTCTCATCTCAAGACCTGTATCTCAGCCAATCTCCAAGGTCTGTTTTGCAATAGTAAGAATCCTAGTTTTGGCTAAAATTTAGATATCTTTGGCTGACCATTATTTGGCCGACAACATCTTCATAAAAGTAAAAGATTAGACTAAGCTTTCTAAAGTCATTCTCAGATAATTCACAAGTCTATGTGGATAAAGGGAGGGAAATGCTGCCATTGGAAACTTTATTCAGGAGGACTGATTTCACACAGTGAAGATGTTAGTATGACGAATAACCAAGTGTTAGTGTGTCTTCTGACACTGAGTCTGTAAGATTTGAAAATAACATTGGTTGGGCAGTAAAAGTATCACACAGTGAGTGATGGTATCTATCTGTGAGAATAGACCAGGAAGCTTCCCAAATAAAAGTGACCCAGGTATAATATCAAGGACGCAAATCAATAATGAAATAGTATCTTGATAGTTGCAAAACCATTCAGTTGTATTGTGGTTTATCTTTAGTAAGGAAATGGGCAAGATAAAGAGCTGGTAAATCCTGCAAATTCAGAAAAAGAGGCATAAGTTGTCCATTGCACTGCATGATTGAGTATTGCACTGAGGACAGCATGTCTCGGCTAAACAGTCTTGACTTGTTATTTCCTTGGTAACTTCAGCCCAAAAGGTGAAAGAGTTTGCAATCATTTTAGCTGAGGGACACTTTGGAGCAGCAACTCATGGAGCCAGTGTTGTGCGGCAGCTGGTTAAGCCACAACCTGGGACATCAGTATCACATATTGGAGTGCTGGTTTGAATCCTGGCTGCTCCACTTCAGATCCAGCTCTCTGCTAATGCATGTGGGAAAGCAGCAGAAGATGGCCCAGGTCCTTGTGCCCCTGCCATCCTCATGGGAGACCTGGATGGAGTTCCAGCTCCTTGCTTCAGCCTTGCTCTGCTCTCACCATTGTAGGCATTTGGGGAGTGAACAGAGGATGGAAGCTCTCTCTCTCACTTGCTCTCTTCTCTCTCTCTCTCTCTCTCTCTCTCCCTCTCTGTCACTCTGCCTTCCAAATAAGTAAAAGAGATCTTTAAAGCAAAAACAAAGAACATCAACTCACTCTCTCAGCAGCCTTCATATAAGTGGGTGTCTAGTAATTTGCTAACAAGGAGAAATGTGCTGGTCTGTCTCTTGCAGGTATTCCATTGTGCTACATGACCTGACTTTCCTTTGCAAATTTCTAAGTTGACATCTGGCTTGTATTCCACATTTCATCAGTATTAAGACTCATGGGTGAGTCAGATATCAAAGAGAGCCACTAGTACATTCAACCAGCCTGTATCTATAGGATTTGGATCAGGAAATGTCAAAATAAAAAAATAGGAAGTGGAGGAAATAAAAATATAGCAGTACTTGGGAACCTACTTATTGAGATTTCCTCTACGTGTAGGCCAATTGTCTACACACTGACAAGGTCATATTTCTCATCCCAAGAGGAAGACGGTCTTATTTTGGACACCAAAGTAGACATGTGGCTAGAGGGTTGCCATGGTGACATAGGCTGTTCCTGTCTCTGGCTGGCTGTGAACAATCAGCCTCATCTACTAAGAATACACCACCAGGTTGCTTCTGAGCCATAATTCCCAAGGGCTGCTCTTGGCTAATGAGTGAGCCCAGCCTTGATGCTAAGGCAGGCCCAGCCCTGAGATGTGGGACTGTTTGTTGATTGACTTTGGCTGGAGGGCTCCCATGAGCGTGGGGAACCCTGCTTAGGGCTGCACTGCAGTCCAGGTCTACCAGATGTCTCCCTTGGCTCTCCTTCAAGGGGTCAGAACAGCGGCTCTCCATGCTCCTTTGTCTCACCCAACTTTCTTCCCAACAGAGTTTCCTCACATAGATTGCCTTTCAGGTCACACGCTGGCCCTCACGTCTTAGAAGACCCACTAAGAGACCGGCCTTCCTCGGGAAGAGCCTGCTCTGTGTCATCGGCACCCTGTTTGAATGCGGCTTGGTTGGCAGGTAGTCAGAATGATTTTCCTGGAAACATCTCAGGGCTTTGAAGGAAAAGCGGCCCCAGAGTGGAGGCTGGGAGTGGGGCAATGCTGCCCTCTGCCCCGCGGCTTCGCTGGGCGCTTCTCTCTCCGTGTGCTGCTTGTTTGTAGTCAATGAGAGACATTCTGTGGCCACAGTGGTCGAAGCTGGGCTTGAAGAGCTGGCGCTTCCTACCTTTGCATTTTCTTCCCAAAAAGAAGGGGGTAGCATCTGAACAGGCAGATGAGTCTTCAGAGTTCTGGGAGAAGGCATTTTGTTAGCCAGATCCAGACCTGGGAAATTCGGCCACACAGCATCAGTCAAACATTTTTCATCAGCTACATGGATTCAGTTCAAACATCTGGAGCCAGAGTGACGGAATAACTGGCTCTTTGGCTAAAATAATGGTTTTGCCTACACGTGTTTCCCTCCCGAGGACACCACACCTGACCGTTCTGGCCGAGGAAACACTTGTGAGCTATTGCAGCCACTGAGGCCACACCGCTCCCCTTGTTTGCTGGGCATCGGTGGGTGCTTGTTTGAGGAGATAAAAGGGCTTTCGGAGGTTTGGGGCAGGTGAGATCTTGGACCCCAACAAGCCCTTGGGTGCTTTGTTGCTGTGATGGGAAGTAGAACGAAGGCAGGTGGAGAAGTGGCACTCCCCGGGGGGGGGCCTGCAGGGTCAGGGGTAGCCCCAGCAGCTCTGTCTGGAGACCTTCAGCCTTTCCTTCAACTCTTATTTCAAAGCCCACCAGTGCTCCCTGCTGAGACGCACTTCCAGACGGAAACTGAGCTTTATAGGAAATATGAGAACCAGAGATAGAAATAAGCAGTGAGTATGGACAGTCGTAGAGAGGGAGGCTTTGTGAAAAACAGGAGAGAGGCAGGGAAGACTTGAACAGACCACAGGCAAGGCCTTCTTGGAAATGCAAAGTCCAATGCTAAATGCTACAATACTGGGCACAGGGGACCTCTGCAGTGGTGCAGTGGGTGAAGCTGCCACTGTGTCCCAGCATCCTTGATCAGAGTGATGGTTCGATTCCCGGCTGCTCCACTTCCTATCCAGCTCTCTGTTAATGTGCCTGGGAAGGCAGCAGAAGATGGCCCTGCCACTCCGATCGGAGACTTGGCTGGAGCTCCTGGCTCCTGGTTTTGGCTTGGCCCAGCCCTGGCTGTTGCAGCCATTTGGAGAGTGAATCAGTGGATGGAAGATCTCTCTGTCTCTCTCTTTTCCTTTCTTTCCACTGCTCTACCCTGCTCCATGGGACAATTCTCCCATCATCCTCTTCAACCAGCTCAACATCAGCCCTGCAGCTGGGACTATTGCCGGCATCTGGGGAGTGGACCAGCAGATGGGACCAGACAGTTATCCATCTGTCTGTCTCTTTGCCTCTCAAATAACAAGAAACTAAGATTAGCTTATTAAGCAGAGATTGGAGGATAGATTTAAATGAAAATTTCATAGAGGTCATTGAAGCAAAGCCAGAAAACAAGAAAGAGAATGATGGGATGAACAAATGAAGTGAGAAGGGTCAGAGAGAAAGCGGCTGATGTAGAAGATAGGTTTCTAGCTGCTGGAATGAGCTTTATCTACTGAAGAGATTGCTTGGAAAATGGATGAAAAGGACTGTTAGTGAATACCTCACATGTCTAACACTAGAATCGAAGTTCGGGGCGGGGGTGAGATCATGAGCAGAGGAATAATGTGTAAAACTCAAAGATTTCAACAAAGTGGAAAGAGTATGATTTAAAACGTCGAATAAGATCATTGACTGTTGTGTAAGTAACAGATTAAATCAAATGATTCCTTTGAAACTAGCAGAACAGACTGTAAAATGTTCAGTAAAAGAAAGGAGAAGTGAGGAATTATAAAAGGTAATAATGCTAAAAATCCACCAGGAAAAAATATAAACTTTCCTAAATACCCACAATGCCAACCAACCAACCAAAAACCCAAAATATAGTTAAAAAAAAAACAAAAAAAGATATTCTAAATAGGGAAGGAAACAGTATATGTAGTACACAGCATAATCTTAACACATGACAGTATAACAGTGACAGAGCACATCGGTCATTTCAATTAATGTAAGCGGGCTTAAATCAGCCATTATCAAATTGGCTCATAAAAGAAAACTCATCCAAATGCTAAAGTACAGTGATTAACAAAGAGCAAAACTAGGCTGGCGCCACAGCTTACTAGGCTAATCCTCCGCCTTGCGGCGCCGGCACACCGGGTTCTAGTCCCGGTTGGGGCGCCGGATTCTGTCCTGGTTGCTCCTCTTCCAGTCCAGCTCTCTGCTGTGGCCCGGGAGTGCAGTGGAGGATGGCCCAAGTGCTTGGGCCTGCACCCACATGGGAGACCAGGAGGAAGCACCTGGCTCCTGGCTTCGGATCGGCACAGCACAGCGGCTGTAGCGGCCATTTTGGGGGGTGAACCAGCGGAAGGAAGACTTTTCTCTCTGTCTCTCTCTCACACTGTCTACTCTGCCTGTCAAAAAAAAAAAAAAAAGTTTCTGAAGTTAAAGTCCCTGTTATATCAGTAAGGTGCATCATGAATATGTATGTACCGAGCAACTGAGGAACCATTTAGAGAACAGAAACCACAGTTGATACAAGCAGAAATAGAAATACGTTAATAACACAATATCTCAACGGTCAGAGCAAAACAGGTCACAGTGCAGTAAGACTAGATTTTAGGGGTGGTCTTTGACACAGAGGTTAGATGTTGTTTGGGATGCCTGCATCCCATATTGAAATACCTGGTTCAAGTCTGGGCTCTGCTTTCCATTCAGCTTCCTGCTGAAGTGCACTCTGGGAGGCAGCTCAAGTATTCGGGTCCCTGTCACTCACACTGGAGCCCAGATTGAGTTCTGGCTTCATCCTGGCCTAGCCTTGACTGTGGTGAGCATTTGGAAAATGAACCAGTGGGTGGAAGAGCTCTGTCCTGTCTATCTCTGTCTATCTGTCTCTCTGCCTTTCAAATAAATAAAAAATTTTAAAAAGAAATAAAATCCAAACCTAAAATTTATAAAAGCACTTCTACTTAGAAACATCTATGAAATATGTCATGTAAAATTACAAAAACTCTGAAAAAAAAGTAGTGAAATGAAATGTAATGAAAACACTATATGTCAAAACTAAATATATTTAACATAGTGATCAGGTAAAAATTTATAACCCTAAACAAAGAATGAATGAAAACATAGGAATTAAATTTCTAATTTAAGAAGCATTTGACAAAAAGCTAATACTGGGGGCCAGCGCTGTGGCTCACTTGGTTAATCCTCCGCCTGCGGTACCGGCATCCCATATGGTTCTAGTCCCTGCGGCCCCTCTTCCAGGCCAGCTCTCTGCTATGGCCCGGGAGTGCAGTGGAGGATGGCCCAAGTGCTTGGGCCCTGCACCCACATGGGAGACCGGGAGGAGGCACCTGGCTCCTGGCTTCGGATTGGCACAGCGCTGGCTGTAGCGGCCATTTTGGGGGGTGAACCCACGGAAGGAAGACCTTTCTCTCTGTCTCTCTCTCTCACTGTTTATAACTCTACCTGTCAAATAAATAAATAAATAAATAAAAAGCTAACACTGATCTATGATTAAAAACTCTGAGAAAGCAAGGAATAGAAGGGAATATCTTCCATCTGATGAAGGACATATTAAAAAAAGAAAACAAAAGCAACAAAACCCTACAAAGCCCTGTAGCTAACTACATACTTAATGGTGTATTATTGAATGCTTTTCCATTAAGATCAGGAACAAGGCAAGGATGTAATAAACATCCTTGATTTCTGACAATAAGAAGGAACTTTAGACATAAATACCGGAAAGGAAGGAATAAAATTTTCTGTACTCATAAAAGACATGGTTGTCCAAGTAGAGAATTCAATAGAATAGTTACAAAAAATATTAGAACTAATAAGCCAGGTTGAAAGATACAAGGTCAAATACAAAAATCAACCATATTTCAATGTACTAGCAATCAGTAATCAAAACTCAAAATGTAGAATTGTCATTTATAATAATAAAAGAAATAGTATAAAATAAAGAATACTCTAGGTTAAATTTGACTAAAGGTGTGCTAAATTTGCATAATGAAAGCTACAAAGTATTGTTGAGGAAAATTAAAGAAAGCCTAAAGAACTGGAGATATAAACCACCTTTGTAGACAGGAAAACTCAATTTTGCAATGTATTAATTCTGATTAAAAGTGCAAAAATCCTAGAATAGTTAGAGAGACATTGAAAAAGAAGAAAAATTGGGGGAGGATTATATTGCTTAATTCCAAAACCTGTTATACAGCTATAGTAATCAAAATGGTGTGGCATTGGCATGAAGACAGATACATAATGGGAAGAAACAGAATAGAAAATCCAGAAACACAGCCCCGTGCACAGGGTTAATTGATTGGGCAAAGGGGACAAGGCAATTGAAAGAGAGAGTAAGGTAAGCTTTCAAACAAGTGACATTGGAACAATTAGCACAATTAATAGTAGGCTTTCAATACTTATTAGTTATTTTATTATTATTTTAAATATTTTACTTGACACATGGTAATTGTACTAGTATGTAAATTTTAGGGGTAACAGTGTGATAGTTCAACAAATGTATGCAATATTACATCAGGGTAATTGGTATATACATCACTGTAAACACCTACTATCTCTTTGTGTTGGGGACAGCCCAAATCCTCTGTACAGCTGTTTTGAAACATTCAATTAATTATTGTTATCTTACAAATGAAGAAACTTTAGGTTTTGACCTTAATAACCTGCTCAGGGTCATCCAGATTAGAATCTAAATCAGCATTTGAAGCAGGACTGTTTGATCTCAAAGTTTTTTTGTCCTCAGCATAGGGTCATCTCCTATTGCAAAAGCTGCTACATGTTATTGTTTGCTTTGCAGAAGCATGGCCTTGATTCCCAACTTGATTACAGCTCTTCTAAGGGGTCCATATCTCACTTTCTCAGATTGTTGGGAGTGAAGCACAGCCATTTGTTGATGATGGTACAAGGCATAATTTGGCTTGATTCTCTGATAGGTTATAGGAAATCCATATTCAAAGACAACCCCCCTGACCTGGTAGCACATGAATGTTTATTGCTTTTTAAAGACTTATTTACTTATTTGAAAGAGTGACAAAAAAAGGAGAAACAGAGAGAAGGAGAGAGAGAGATTTTTCATCCTCTGCTTTACTCCCCAAATGGCTGCAACATCAGGGTTGGATAGGGTGAAGCCAGGAGCCAGGAGCAGGAGCCCGAGGACTTGAACCACCATATGCTGCTTTCCCAGGTGCATTAGCGCATTAGCAGGATGCTGGATCAGAAGTGGGGCTGCCAGGATTTGAACCGGAGCTCTGATAGGGGATGCTGACATCGCAAGCCATGCTTAACCCACTGCACCACACTGCTGGCCCTGAACGTGGCTCGTAATTCTGGAGGGCTCTGGTTCAGCCCAGCTCTCACTGGGTTATACGTGGTGACTCTCAAAGAGCAACAGCCGGGAACGTGCTGAGGTTGCTAAATCACGAGTTTAGGAAAGGGAGTGGGAGTTGTCTCCCCCCCTCCCTTGTTTTGATCTGAATCCTTTCAAACTCCTCCCCAGTGGCTTTTGGAAAGGTGTTCTAGAAGGCTACATGGAGAAATAATTTTCCCCTCGGGTAAAAACCGACCCTGTACGGTGGTTCCAACCTTCCCAGGTAGCAGGTGGGGCACACCTACCAGAGTTGAGGGGCGGAGGCAGAGTCCACTCGATGAAAGGGTGCCGGTCGAAGGTGTTGGCCCGCTGGCACCGCTGCACGTCGCCGTCATTCTGAATCATGTCCACGATCTCCTGGGTCCAGGTGGTGCCTAGCAGCATCGGGATCCTTGTCAAGGTGATTCGGTTTCCTTGATTGCTCACACACTCAGTTAAATTCACGTTTGCTGAACGCTGAGCGGAATCAGCTCGCTGGTCACCTCTGCTGGCCACCCAAGGCAAGCAGGGCCCTCCTCTGAGCGTGGGTGGCCCTCTGCGCTCATTGCTACCATCTGCTTGTGCATTTGTTTCTTTGTGACACTGGGAGCCGGATCCAGGAAGGAGCTGGTCCCTTTGTTCTTGCCTCTATCCCAGAGTTTCGTGTTGTAGGTACAGCTTGATCAAATGAATGAATCAAGCTGAATGTGGGGAGAATAAAGAGGAGCTCGCCACTGTGCCTACTCTAGCAACCTTGACATCTTCTCAGAGGGGGTAAATCTGGCAAATCTACTCTAGCAACTCTAGCAAATATTCTCAGAGGGGGCAAAACACAGCAGAGACCACTTCCTGACCAGCTTCTATGCGCTTTTCTTCTCTTCCCGATTAGGAGACCCTCATTGTTTAGCTGGATACGCAACTGCTTAGGTCAAAGACCACATTGCTCATTCTTTCTCAAGGCTAAATGTGGCCCCTCCACTTAATTCTGGGAAGCCCTCTAACCTCCTTGCTGCTCTTTCGAATATGCATGTGTTGGCTGGGGTTCCAGCAGTCGCGTAGGGCCATAGTCAAAAGCCGCACCAGGAGATGGTGGAGTAGAAAGCTGGGAGCCAGGGTCAGTCCTGGACAGCCAACACCTTTGTGCATTTGGGTTTTCTCACACTTACAGCCAGTGGGGTCCTGACTGATCAGTAAATGGACATACGGGTGTGGGGGAAGCTGGGCCACGGCACAGAGGGCTGGCTATCCATGAAACACCTATTTTCCCTTTACTACTTCAGCTGTCTTTGTAGCTTGGAGCCAAACTGGGGCTGAAACATGACACATACCCAGCTAACTGAATACACAGGAAGGGCAATGAGGTGTGGAAAATTCTGGAAGAAGTCAGAGGAGCAGGCCTGGTCCCTGCCAAGGAGGTCAGCAAGGCACAGTGGAGGAGCCGATTTGGAAGGAAGAGTGGAAGCCGGAGGAGGATGTGAGCGTGTGAGTGGGGCTCACAGAAAGTTGAGAAGTGCTGGGAGAGGTGAGGGCTCCAGGTGGCTGGAGAGAGAGCTTGGAACCGTTGCATGGAAGGTCTTGGCATTGACCATGTAGTTTCCAAGGTGAACTGACAATTTCCGCCCTGAATTTTAGTGCCTTTCTGAGCGAGAGAAGGATCCAGCGCTAACCAGCCTGACAAGGTGGTTCCTGAGAACCTAAAGCCTGCTGCGGGAGTGCCTTGCCCAGTTTGCTCAGTGGGCTCTGGCAACATACGCTGATTAGGTGAGAAGGCAGTGAGGCTAAGGAGGGGATTCAGGGCCAGCAGGGCAGAAACACAGTCTCCCCAGCTCAGAATTCCTGTTCTACCACGCACAGGCCTGGGATACTTCCTGCCTTTTGTCTGCCTTCATCACACACTCCTCTGCATCTTACAAGATTCTGGCAGCAGTCACCTCCCTTTTCTCTGCTCCATCCCACTGCACTACGCTAGCTTTTGGACCTAACTCTCAGCGCCTTTTGTGTTGGGTGAAGGCAATCAGTCTGCGCATCTCTCTCCTGCCCCAGAATGAGCATCACACGGTTCATCCCAGAAGGTTTTGGCAGATGGGAACCGGAAGCGGCTGGGTTGGCCAGAGCTATTAGAAGAACCTCTGTGCTGTCTCTGTGTTCTTAAATCACTTCCTAACTCACCAAGTCCTTTTGGGATTTGGGATTCTGGTCACTGTTTCTCTACCGGGGACCGAAATAGAAATCTTGGATCTGGGGGGTGGGGTGGGATGGAAGCTCGTATGTAAGTCTGGCTTTCGTCTGTTTTGGGGCCAGCCCTGGTGACACCCAGTTCTTTAAATTAGGAGGCTCACTTTTCTCATCTCGGCAACAGCTGGCTGTGCCCCCACAGCCAGGCCTCCAGACCCACCTGCCTTTGCATAGGTTGCAATGAGGAGATCATCAGGTCTGGCTTGGAAATTCCAGATTTTGTCCCAATTATCGCTGATCATCTTGGTCATGAGGATTCCGTTCACTTCCTGGGTCTCTGGCTCCTCCAGGTGCAGATCTTCCATTGCCTCCAAGGACATCGTGACTGCGGGTTTCACAGGTATTTGGAAGAAGGAAATATTCGTGGCATTTCCAATGCTTGGCACCCTTCTTCCTTTTTTAAAAAATATACTCTGAGAGAGCTGGGAGAGATACAAGGTGGGAATCTGATACTATAATGTTAATTTAAATAGGATAAATCAAAACTGTGGGAATAGGAAGCAGTTTAGTTAGTTTTGTTTCAGGATGCACAGATGATAAAGAAGTAAACAAACCTCCTAGAAGGACCAAGTACCAAGCAGGAAAGCAGAGTTCGGGGAGGTACTGGGCAGATTTTAAGTGTTTTCATCTTAAAAAATAAGTGTGTTGGCCGGCGCCGCGGCTCAACAGGCTAATCCTCCGCTTAGCGGCGCCGGCACACCGGGTTCTAGTCCCAGTCGGGGCGCTGGATTCTTTTCTGGTTGCCCCTCTTCCAGGCCAGCTCTCTGCTGTGGCCCGGGAGTGCAGTGGAGGATGGCCCAAGTGCTTGGGCCCTGCACCCCATGGGAGACCAGGATAAGTACCTGGCTCTTGCCATCGGGTCAGCGCAGTGCGCCGGCCGCAGCGCGCCGGCCGTGGCGGCCATTGGAGGGTGAACCAACGGCAAAAGGAAGACCTTTCTCTCTGTCTCTGTCTCTCACTATGCTGCCTGTCGACAGAAATAATAGAAAGAGATCAAGTATGTGAGGGCCGGCGCTGTGGCGCAGCGGGTTGAGGCCCTGGCCTGTGGTGCCAGCATCCCATACGGGCGCCAGTTCAAGTCCTGGCTGCTCCACTTCTGATCCAGCACTCTGCTATGGCCTGGGAAAGCAGTAAAGATGGCCCAAGTGCTTGGGCTCCTGCACCTGTGTGGGAGACCTGGAGGAGGCTCCTGGCTCCTGGCTTCAGATATGCACAGCTCCAGCAGTTGCGGCCATCTGGGAAGTGAACCAACAGATGGAAGACCTCTCTCTCTGTCTCTCTCTTTTTCTCTCTGTAACTCTGTATTTCAAATAAATAGAATAAATCTTTTTAAAAAAATAAGTATGTGAAGTAGTGGTTAATCAGGTTGACTGAGCATTTGGCTGTGTATGTGTTTTTTGAGACATGGGGTTATAAGTGATACATATTATTTTTGTAAACTAAAAATAAGTAATTTTTAAAGATTTATCATTATTCTTGCAAGGCTTTGTGCCTGCTTTTAAGCATTAGCTGACCTTTCATACAGGACAATGCTAGCTCATAACTGTAGAAGGGAAGATAGAAGTAAAAAACTCCTATGGATGCCAGAAGCCATTGTTCAAAACACTGAGTCAACAGAAGGCTCAGGCCTGCTGTTCGTGCAGTTCCAAGTACCTGCCCACGGATCAAAGAAGAGAAAGCATCCCTTAGTGATGGAGAGATCCGGGCCATGTCCTCAACCCTGTGTTCTGAGCAGCACCCATGGGAGCTGGACTTGGGGTAGTGAGTGTCTGCCCATGGCAGTGCCCGTGGAGTGCTCTGGGAACAGTGTTAGACCTGGATTTCATCCTGAAGAAATCATCAGATATCCAGAGGTAGAGAAGTTCCATGTGACAATGAGCCTGGATTCTTCAAAAGAACCATCAGCAGGGGAATGTCCAGGAAGAGAAATAAAATGCTCCAGGCTGAGAGCACTTGTTCTAGACTAGAAGAATCTAGAGACATCACCAAGCTCAATGCAAGAAACTTTGATTCTGAATGGGGGGAGAGCTTTAGAAAATGTTAAGGAAGCTTGTCTTTCCCTTTTTGATATGAGAATGAGAGAAAGAAAGAAAGAGAGAGAGAGAGAGAGAGAGAGAGAGAGAGAGAGTCTATCCACTGGTTCACACCCCCAAATGCCTACATAGGTGGTGGGGAGCCAACTATATGAGCCATAACAGCAGCTCTCCCGGGTCTGCACTGGAGCTAGGGGCTGGTGCTGGGGCTTGAATCCTGGTACCCAATATGAGACACCTGTGCCTTAACCATGAAGCCAAACACCTGCCTGGCCTCTGGGTAAATTTGAACACAGAATATATGGTTGTTGGCGGTGTGATCACGAGTGAGAATGTCCTTACTCTTAGAAGACGAAGCCAACACCATGTAGGAGTGCAGTGTTACAGTGAACAGAGCTCCCCAAATTGAAGAGGCCCCGTTTCTCCACTGAGGCCCCCCTTGCCTTGCTAACAATAAGATAAATCTCAGCCCTGGTAACTGTGGGCTGTATTTTCTTCCCTTAAGTACTTCCTTTTTCCTCTTTTCTTCCCCCGTCAAATCCTGTTATGATCAATCTATAGGGTGTTTTATTTTCAAAGAAAAAAAATTCTCATTCAATAAAGAAGCAGTTTGTCACTCAGGAAAGAATGAATGCTACCAATCTGCAGGTGGGATTTGCTATTAACATGAACATCCCATGACTGCTGTGAGGCTGGATCATATTAGGATTTGCATGTGGACAGCTATGACTAAAGGTGTTACATAAAGATAAGACTCACTCCCGAATTTCCCCAGCTTTGGCCTCTACAGCTATATAAGCTCCTTCCCTGAGCCAGAGGAGGAGGAGATAATTTGGAGCAGAAATATTCCTTTGCCTGGCTTTGCAAATAATAAACCTCATTCTTTTGCAAAAGGCTGGTGCCTCTGAGTTTGGCTAAAGAGCATATTAGGTGAAGGATTCATTGTATCCATCAAGAGTGACTCCCACTTAGGTTCAGTGAAATGGTGTACATCTATGTGTGTGTCGGTGGACAGCTACGGGACCACTTCAGAAACCCATGCATAAATGGAAATGAAAAGATGAGCTTATTTTGATGTGTAATTTTTTTGAAATCTATGTACAGTTTTTTCATAATACTCAATTTGCATGAACATTTTGAAGCCCCGTTGTAAGCATGGACTTCAATTTTTTTGCATGAAATATACGTATCTTTTCATTTCCTTTTCCATGAGCTTCCCAAGTGCATGGTGCATACCCACACATGTACACACACAGAGGGAGGAGCAAAGGACAGAGGCAGGGGAGTGGTGGTGGCGGCAGCAAAATATCACTTGGTGGAGCTGGGAGATGGTGACAGATTCTCTTTGTACTGCTTGCTTTTTAGCTTTGCTGTAGGTTTAAAAAAGTTTTTTTTTTTTTTAAGATTTATTTTTTGTTATTTGAAAGGCAGAGTTAGACACAGAGAGAGAGATCTTCTATTCAGCACTGGCTCACTACCCAAATGGCTACAATAGCCAGGGCCAGGCCAGGCTGAACCAGGAGCCAGGAGCTTCCTCCAGGTCTCCCACATGGGTGCAGGGGCCCAAGGACTTGGGCCATCTTCTACTGCTTTCCCAGATGCATTAGCAGGGAGCTGCATCAGAAGTGGAGCAGTTGGAACTGGAACCTGAGTCCCTAAGGGATGCTTGTGTTGCAGGTGACAGCTTAATCTGTTACACCACAGCGCTGGCCCTGAGGTTTATAATATTTTAAAGAAAAGGACCAGAGAAACCAAACGTCTCATGTACTTGCCACATTACTGATACAATGTGAAGGCAGGCTGCTTATGGAGTAGAGGCACTTCGTGATTTCCAGTGTGTGGAGAATTGCCTCCTTCCCTGCCTCCCCATACACAGGCCAGGGGGCTGGGGCAGGGGTGGGCATCTCACCTGGCCCCATCTCCAGGAGGCGTTTTCTGAGTTTGACCTCTTCCCAGAATTCCTGGCTCCTGTGCTCCACCCCCTGGCTGCCTGGAGGAGAGCCCTCCTGTTCCCCATGGAGCTTGCATTTCCTTGTCAGTTTTGCAGCTCAGTTAGGCCTTAAAGAAGATAAACAAGGGCATTTTAAAAAGCTCATGGACAATTGAATCAAAATAAGCTAATTTTGGGACAAAAAAAATTCTGAAACCCCTACATATATGGGATCTTAAAAATTTATGAGAAATACATATTACAATTTTCCAAAGATTTTTGCAACAAAGCAGGTTTGTCTTTTGATTCCATTTTCCCATGAACTTTTGATGTGCCTTCATATTTTAAAGAATGTATTTTACATCTTCTTACAAAGTTCTGGAGCTTTGGGGTTGCTTAGGAAATTTACTCTTCCATGCAGTCATTCTGTTTTTGATGGTCCAATCTATATTCTCCTTAAAGTTAGTATTTATTAACGACAGAGTTACAGAGAGGTAGAGACAGAGTGAGAGAAAGAAAGAGAGGTCTTCTATCTGCTGGTTCACTATGCAAATGGCCACAATGCTTGGAGATGAGCCGACCTGAAACCCGGAGCCAGGAGCTTCCTCCAGGTCTCCCATGTGGATGCGGGGACCCACTGCCTTGGACCATCCTCTGCTGCTTTCCCAGGTGCATTAGCAGGGAGCTGGATCAGAAGTGGAGCAGCCAGGACTCGAACTGGCGCCCATACGGGATGCCGGCACTGCAGGCAGGGCCTTTAACCCACTGCACCACAGCCCTGGCCCTCTATACTCTAAAATACAAGAACAAATGGCTGTAATCACACTGTACAACCCGAAGTTCCAGGAGTTCTTAGTACGTTCCTTGTTCTGTCTGAGGATTCTTTCTCAGTGGGGTTTTGAAGTGGGAGAGGTAGGGTCTGATTTTTATTCCAGGTCCTTGCCTTTGACTTAGAGAAGTATCCTAAGTACACACACACACACACACACACAGGCATACATATATGGTCACAAAGGGATAGCTTATGTAAAAGGTGAGAAAACAGACACACAGAGGCGTGGCCCAGTTGAGAAGTGGGATGGGCGTGAGGGAGCAAAGGGGTATGGCAAAGGAAGAGGGAGAGGGAGAAGCTCAGCACTTGTCCTGGTCTTAGTGTTGTTCTCTGATGTAAGAGGGAGGTGCATCTCCTTTTATGGGGTTGTGCGGGCACCTGGGAATTTCACGACACATCTGCAAAATCCCACATGGAGCTTAATACACTTATTTACATGGTGAGGTTTCACCAAACCCAGGATGAAGCAAAGCATCTCGGGAAAGGGGATGTCCTACCGGACAAGGGGCTAGAATTACCTGGGGTGGGGGCTTGTGGTGTGTGGCCTCCAGCTCAGCCAGCTGCCTTCTTCCTTACCAGTTTTTCATTTTCTCAGGGTGCGGGGGCTTTGGACACAAGGCCAGCCACGTGGCCCGGGGGTAGTAATAACTTGTGATTTTTTTTTTTTTTGACAGGCATAGTGGACAGTGAGAGACAGAGACAGAGAGAAAGGTCTTCCTTTGCCGTTGGTTCACCCTCCAATGGCCGCCGCGGCCAGCGCACGGCACTGATCTGATGGCAGGAGCCAGGTACTTCTCCTGGTCTCCCATGGGGTGCAGGGCCCAAGCACTTGGGCCATCCTCCACTGCACTCCCGGGCCACAGCAGAGAGCTGGCCTGGAAGAGGGGCGACCGGCACAGAATCCGGCGCCCCGACCAGGACTAGAACCCGGTGTGCCTGCGCCACAAGGCGGAGGATTAGCCTGTTGAGCCGCGGCGCCGGCCATTGTGATTTATTTTTAAGTTAATTTATTGTCTCGGGGGTTGCTGGGCCAAGTGGGCTGCATGCCTGGAGCTGTTCCAGCCCGGGAAGGAAGCTGCGCTGGGCGTGCACAGCCCAGGAGGCCCCCAGCCCCAGCTGCTTTGCTCTCTGTCCTTGGGGGTCCAGTCCCTCCA